ACGTTTTTCATAGTTTTTGACTTAGTATCCTCAAAGCAGTTGTAAAATTCAACAAAAAAAGGTAAAATTCAAAAAAATTATATTTTAGTTTGTTTGGTTAAAATTATCTTTATAAGAAAACTTTTTGATTTTTGAAACAGGTTTAAAAAAAACTTATAATGAACACCAGATTTCATTAAAGACATTGAATTCTATATAGATCAGGAGTTGACTAGAAACATGAATAAAACTGGGGATGCATGTGGTAACATGATTTATCAACTATAATAAACTAAACTTTCTAGTTAAAGGCTCACCCGCAATGCTCTGTAAAAAATCTCTCTCAAAAAAACTTTCATTTGTTCTAATATTAAAATAAATGATAGATTTCAGTATAGGGGAAAGGCGCCTATGATGGGCCATCATAGGCGCCTTTCCCCTATATATATATAGGGGAAAGTATATATAGTATAGGCATGTTAGTTTAATCATTTTTTCTCCATAACCAATATTTATGAAAATATAACCGGTATGCCATCATAGGCGCTATGCCATCATTGATGGCATAGCGCCTATGATGGCATACCGGATGATGGCATACTGACTTTATATTAGTTTTTGTGAAAATGTGGAACACTTACTTTAATTTTATCTTTTGAACAAAGCAGACATAGCTTGTTTAAATGAAAATGATGACTTCTTCCTATGATGGCATACTGACGAGTTATGTTGCAATATTGAGGAATAAAGAAAATCTTTTTTTTTCATAAAAACAACATACTTGTTATTGAAGTAAAAAGGAATTTTTACTTCACTAAAAAATTTATGGTTCAAAAAACACATAAAACGCAATATCTCTTATGCGCATGCGCGAAATTTGACACTGCTGCTGTGTAGCAAGAATGAGTTAATTAGGATGATTAAGCGTAGTTTCTGGCATTTTTGAGGGAAGACTTTTGTTAGGTCAAATGAAATTGTCAATTTACCTTTGATGCTAACCAACCCCATCCTCCCCTATGCCATCATAGGAGCAGTAGTTGCCTATGATGACATACTTGTACTTTTTTTTTAAATAAAATAACTAATAAAAAAATAAAACTGATAAAAATTCCTAAAGTTATTATTGTTCTACATGTAACAAAGAATGTATTCATATCAAAACTCTTATTCTTGGTATTCAGGATACTGAATAATGAAGCTTCAAAGATAAGTATGTCATCATAGGCGCCTTTCCCCTATAGAATGTGAAAATGAAATTAACTTAAAGTTTTTATTTTGTGACAGCGCGTTTTGTAGATGTGCCCCTCATATGTTTGAGTAAGATACGTTTAATCAGTAAAAAACTCGTTTTCACTTTGATAATAAAACGAGTAACGAACTAAATATTGAAAATGATATTATTGTTAAAATAGAGTAAATTTTAAAAGACATGACAGCTCCTGAGGATAATAGTATTGATATTCTGTTAGAAGTTTTTCAGGCAAGTTTGTACAAAGGCAATGAAGAAGCAAATGTTGGTTTATACAAACGATCAAATAAAACAAATAAAAATGTACAAAAAGATTTTGAAATTGAAAACAATAGCTTTAGAGGAAAATGAAGATATCAATAAAATTGCATCGTTATTTAGTACTTATGTTTTAGATAATTATACTTATGTAGCAATACCTTTCATTTCATAGTTTTCTGAGCCATCCATCAATCTCAAGGTTATTAAAGTAGATTAAAACATAGAGGAAGAAGAAGAGATACCTGACAATAATCCCAAAAACTCATTTTAAAAATATACTTAGTACTTGGCTAAAGATGTTGTAATTGTATCACTTGCAGATCCAGACGTTGTTATTTGTTAAGATGTTTTTATTGTACCACTTGCTGACGTAACCAATGATGGTTTTCTAAAATTCTAAAGGAACTTATAACGTATTTTAATCTAGAGCATATTTCCTAATTTGAAATAAAGAAGTATGAAATCAGAAATGACACAATCATTAACAAGAACAATCATTTGCATAAGTTTTTAGAGGAAAAATAGCAGATATAATTCTTTCTATGCAAAATATATTTATTACTGTTATTATTATTATCATTATCATTACTATTGATTATTATGGTTATTTATACTAGTTATTTCATAATCAATCTTTCTACTACAGGGATGGATACGGCATATTTTTGTTTTTGAAAATGATTTGCATAACGCTGCGAATTTTGGAGCCAGGGAACAAAAAAACCCAAAAATTATTGCCCATCTGCCCTAAATGTGAGAGCAACAAGTCGATAAAATATTTTTTTACTACTCTTAACTAGACTTATATTCATCGATAAATTTTAAGTTTTTTAGAGTTCAAAAGTTATGACTAAATAAAATTTGCAACTCCCGCAAATTGAAAACTGTTTTGAATTTTTAGTAAAAAAATTTTTTAGATTTTCATCATAGCTTAAAGTTTTGTATCAAATAATACCTGAATAACTGTTCTAAAAGAAATATTTGAATAGTTCAAGGTGTTCGGCATCGAAAGTCGGAAACTATTTTTTGATTCTGTAAAAAAGTTGTATTTTTGAGATACTTTAATGTATAATAAACAGCCGTGGCGGAGTGGTTAGAGCGCTTGCTTTAGAAGCGAGAGGTAATCGATGCTCTAAACATATTTTAAGTCTTTGGTAAGAAAGGAGGCGTGAACCACCTAATATTTCATTAGAACATTTAACTAGGAGCATTTAACATTTAACAAGACCGTTAGGTTTTCTAAGGGCACCAAAAACAGAATAAATGGTCATAAAGTAAAAGATAGGGTCAGGTAATATAAAGTGTTCTTACATACTTAAACAAATTTAAAAGAGGATTTTGAAATGAAACTTCAATGGAAGTAGTAATTTTGATGGTAAACGAAAGTCTGTTTTTTAGTTTTGACAGCAAACATTATGGTGTACCACAACAGACTCTTTTGTCGTATAAATAACATATATATGTTTGCAACTTGCTGTAGAAAGCACTTTAAAATATTTTTGATGAAAGGTTAGAGCAAGAGTTACTGACATATATTAAGATCACTTTGAAAAAATGATTTAATTTATCTTTAATTGATGTTTGACGCTTAACTTATCAACTTACAGATAAAATTGGGTTGCAGCACAGATTCAACATTTTAAAACAATTTGCAGAAAAATAGTGTCTGCATGCATTTGTTAATTACGATATAATTGATTTATTTTACGCAGAGCTAAATTAACATCATATGATCAAAGTGAATTTAAACGTCAATAAACTTTTTAAAATGTCAATGTTAAAATTTTCTAGTGAACGATAAAATTTTCAATTAGTTTGATAAAAGTTTTAGCTAAATAAGGGAAGCATTAAGTTGTATGTTTTCATAGTGCAGAGCGCTGTAAAAATATTGTTTGTAATGTTAACAAAGTGAATATTGAAAGCGAAAAAAAAAACGTTCTTCAATTTTTTATTTTGGCAAGGAAAAGATTAAACCCTGTTAATACAGACTATGGTATCAGCAATATCTGTTGATTTGCGCAAGAAAAAAGATTGGTGGTATGGTAAATTTTCCATTTTTATGTTATCAGTAAAAAACTTACGAAAAGTCAAAGATCCAGGTTCGAAACGACATATTTTGGACATCACGGTAAGGAAGGAGACGTAAACTTCTAAACTATCAATAACTAAATTATCAATAATAGTAATGGCAACGAAAGCATTGAATGTAGAAAAAAAAATTTACGTAACCTCATCATATGAAATGGTATTCATTTTTTGTATGTTTGTGTATTTGTTTTTTTTATTTTTTACTATAATATATGTCAAAAAATGAATAAAAATAATAATTATAATACGGCTTTGCATACAATACGGTGTTGCATTATTAAAAATAACTCATCTTATGAAACTGATTCTCTAAGAGTAGACAACTAGTTGTTAAAAATACAGCAACTATTGGTATAAAAGTTAATTTTATTTAACAATTAATAATACTTTATTCGAGGAAAAACAAAAAAACAATAATCTTCGAAAAAGATCTTTTTGTAATAATTTCGCAGAAAAATATCTTATAATGTTAAGATGCTCAACCAAGCCAACCGTTGATAATTGTGTGTTATAAAAATGTATTTTTTTATGCACCTAATTTTACCATAAAAGTTAATTTATAAGACGAAATTTTTATTATTATATTTTTCTCAAGCAACTTTAATTTACTGAAATTTTTTATATTTGTCTCACTTAAGCAACCTACATATACTTAATATACTTTTAAGAACCTAAGCTAGATGTATAAAAATTGGCCAACTAATCCGAATTTCGTTCCCTAAAAACTTAGAAATGAGAGTATTTAAAAAAAAAAAATTTATAAACAGGAGTTATTTACAAAAATTTGATTTTATATTATATTAATAAGGTTTTAATGGTGATATTAACAAAGTTTTAATTAGTATACATTTTTATTTTCCGAAACAATTTTTAACGTATTTTTAACTCCCATAATGCACATTATAAAAATCTATTGCTCAATATTTGACACCTAGTATGTACAAAAAAATATTTTTTATAATGAGCGGTTGATATTGATGACGATGTATGGTTTTATCAGGCTGTTTTTATTATACATCATTAAAAATACTGTATAAGAAAATATTATATAAATATTTTTAAATATTGATATGGAATTTATCTATATTGGTATTTATGTATTATACAATTTGCCAAAATTGGAGTCAAGTCGAAAAGCTCACATTGACATTTTGTTGAAAAAAGGCTGTTTTTATTGTAGAAGGACTTTTTTAATCAAATGCCACATTTCGTAAAATAAGGGTACTTTTTATTCTGTTATTCCTTTTTTATATTTCGAGAACTAATTTAGGGGCTTGACATAAGACATACCAAGTCTTATTAGCCTTAAATAAACACTTTTTTTGGAGGTATATTTTTTAAGTAAGACTTTACAACTTGATATAAAATCAAATTTGTAAAGGTCTTTTTAACTATTTTAATATAAGACAAAAAAAAAATTTAATTCACAGTATTCAAGTCTTACAATTTAAAAAATTTAAAAAACGTCGTTTTTATATTTATTTAAGTTGGATTCGCACTCTTTTGCGCAAGTAGAACGTTGAACAATACAAATAAAGTAAGTTTCCTGAAGTTTGTCAACGACTTGCACGCACTGTTCGAATTGACCTTCACATATGCTCAAACATTGTAAATCGTAGTGCGGATGAGGTCTTGTACAAGCCAATGTAATAAAACCAAATATTAGTAGTAAAGTCGAGCTTTTAGAATCCATTACAATCTGACAACATTAAAAAACACTTTAAAATGTTTATCTACTTATAAAATAATCACGTTTTTTTTAATATTACAGATATTTTAGTACGATAAAAAAAATCTAAAACTTACTTTGTTCTTCAACTCTTTTTGGATAAAAGATTTGTCGTTCAGTGCGGTTTAACCTCTTTATTCGTCTTATACTAGTGAAGTACCAGAAATTCGATTGGTTTAAACTTTATATGAGTTAGCTAACTGTTAAAAACGCATTTCAAGAGAGAAATTGTTTGTTTTCTATTGCAATAACTCAGTCGCTTTTTCAATTTCCACCAGAAGGAATTTGGAAGTTATTGAAAATAGTTTTCTCTTTTTAAAGCAAAAAGAAGAAACAAAAAAGACAATTGAATAACACGGTGATAATAGTGGAGGCGTAACTTATATTGTGGTCGAAGCATATTTTGACTACTTGTGGGCAACTCTCTAAATAGCATTGCGTGTTTGTGACGTATAAACAAATAAACGAAATTAAAAATAGTGACTTTTATTGTACGAAATTAAGCAATAAATTTTATTTTGTGATTAATCGCCGTGTGTTAAGCTTCCCGTCATTTATTATTTATAAATTTCATTTTACTAGTTTGCTAAGAATATCTTACCCAGCACGATATGTAGCTATGCTTGGTGGCTTTAATTTATTTTGCAGCCCTTAGTTATAAGTTAATCGAGTATTAGTCACGAGCAAGGAAAACTTGACTTTACAATTTATGTTTCACATATAATATTTTAAGTTTAACTTTCTTTTCTTTATAGCGAAACGTTTCTTTACGCGCGAAAAGTATATTGTTTTTAGAATAGAAAATTATTCTTAATGTTAAAACTAAACCTGTGATATAAATATATTTATAATATGCATAATATATTTAAATACCAAACTTTAGCTATAAACTTCAGGTTTTAATTTTTGAGTATTTACTTAAACACAGACGCTCCTAAAATATATTGGAGACATTCCTTAGACATTGCAAACAACAATATTGTTTCATTATATAAAGTCTACAATTTAATGCAACAGTCTTTTTAAAATTAAAAATGCTGTAGCGGTTTTTTATAACCACGTTTAAATGAAATGATTAATGGATTTTATAATATCTTTACTACTTTTATATAATGTGAACACGAATGGCCGTATCTATAAAACAATGGAATAGTCGTCTATTAAATAACCGTATTTAATAGTTTTATTTAAACACTCACAGAAACTTTTTTTTCCTGATTAAATTAAAAAAAGTTAATTTATTTTTATTTTTATCGTTTCCTTAACTTTATTTGACATAAACACATTTCTAATTAGAATCAAGTATATTTGTTATAAAGCATATTGTTTTCAATTTCTTATTTTGAATGGGTAAAAAAAAAATTATATATATATATATATATATATATATATATATATATATATATATATATATATATATATATATATATATAAATATATATATATATATAAATTAGTAGAAAATCACTTTTTAAAAATTTTTTTATTTTACACTGTGTTTCATCAATAAAGAATCTGTATATATATATATATATATATATATATATATATATATATATATATATATATATATATATATATATATATATAATATATATATATATATATATATATATATATATACATATATATATATATACACACACACACACAAACACACACACACACACACACACACACACACACAGTAGCGTGCAAACGTTTAGAAACACCAACTTTTTTTCAATTTTTACTACATAACTTTTCACAAACTTTCTTAAACAAGCTGAAATTTTTACCAAATGCGCTCTATATTATTTCAATTTAAAATACAAACCACAAAAGTTGTAAAATTGAACATTTAATTACCATTTAATTGCTTTTTTGAAAAAGCGTCCATGCAAAAGTTTAGAAACAACTACTTGATTAATATTTATTTCAAAAAAGCTGAAACTTTTTCTAAAATTCACATAACAATTTTTTAACAACAGTTTTAATAAAACACTTAGTATTTGTTGGCAATCCATTTGCCTTTAAAACAGCATCACAGCGACGAGGCATTGAATCTATTAGTTTAATGAGAACATCCTGAGAAACATTATACCAACATTCTTTAATCAATGCAAACAAATGGATTTTGTTAGTTGTTTTTCCACTAACTAATACCCGGTCGATGTACTCCCTAAGATGCTCAATAGGATTGAGATCTGGGGTCTGTGAAGGATATTCGAAAACTTTGATTTTTTGTGATTTAAAATATTTCTTAACAGATCTGGCTCAATGCTTAGGCTCAATGTTTTGGATCATTATCTTGTTGTAAGATCCATTTGCGAGTCATTTTATGCTTTGCATGTGGCAGCATAACATTTTTTATGATGTCTAAATAAACTCTCTGGTCTATAATACCTTCTATGTGATAAATGGGACCCACATTGTCACGACTAAAACATACCCAAGCCAAAACGCCCCCTCCCCCATTATTCACATTGGGTAATTGATATTTTGGATTATTCTGTCTCCTACTGGGAGCCTAACATACCTAATTCCATCATTACTGAATATCATAAACTTTGATTCATCAGAAAAAAGGACTTTTGACAAGTCATTAACTGACCAACTAATATGATCTTTTGCAAATTTTATTCTGGTTTTTAAATTTCTAGCATATATTAGCAGTTTCTTAACTGGACGACGGCCAAAGAGATTACATTTTCGTAATCAATGTTTAGTTGCATCGACGCTACAGTTTGTGCTATGAAACTGATGCATAAATGAAGTTAGACAGCAGACTTGCGAGGACTATTTTTGAAACACCTTACTAATAATCTATCAGACTTTTCATTTGTAACTTTAGGTTTTCCAGAGTTAGGTTTTCCTTTCAATCATATTGTGCAGACAAAATCTTTTCATAATGAGACTTATTCCTAGTTTAGAAACAAAGTTCAGAAATCTGCCTGTAAGTCATTTTATTTCCCACAGCTTTTACAATCAATTCCTTCATTTCCTTTGAAACTTCCTTAGCCTTTCCGATGCTTTTTAAATACTGCTAAGTAATTTAATTATAAAATTTTACCAATATTTTGGCAATTGCCTTTAAAATATCTCAAAGTAATTAAATAATTATATTTCACAAATATTTTGACCTTAAATTTTGCTTTTGTTTACAAAAACAGGATTTAGTTGCGGGGTATGATACTGTTTCTAAACTTTTGCACGGAAGTTTTTTCAAAAAAACAATTACAAGTTAATTAACCTTTAAATTTCCAACTTTTATTGTTTGTATTTTATATTGAAATATCATAGAGCACATTTGGCATTTGGTAAAAATTCCAGCTTATTTAAGAAAGTTAGTGAAAATTTATGCCGTAAAAACTGAAAAAAAGTTGGTGTTTCTAAGTTTTGCACGCTACTGTATATATATATATATATATATATATATATATATATATATATATATATATATATATATATATATATATATATATATATATTTTAAATGTTGACATCTTCAATAGATTTTATTTGCATAAATATTTTAAAATAAAACTTCTTTTTATGGATTGATTTCTATTTGCAAAAATTATATTTAATATATAATTTTTGCAAATAGAAATACATAAATACATCGATAAGATCTTAATATGTTAAGATCTTATCGATGTATTTGTAGAAAACGGCTATGAGAGGAAAAGTCTGGAAAAACTAGTTAAGTTTACGAAAGAAAGTCTTAACAACAACAACAACAAAAAAGATCTCTCGAAAAATCAACATTTCCTAAAGTCTTCAAAAAGAATTGTGTCTTTACCCTGGATCCCTGGAATCAGTCTTAAGTTAAGAAGAGCTTTTAAAAAAGCAGGATACGCACCAGTGTTTAAGTCTCCAAAAAATCTCCAAAGTCTACTAAGTTCCAAAAAAAACCTACACTACCAGTTAATTCCTTTCCCGGTGTTTACAAATTAAAGTGGTCTTATGGCGAATGTTATGTTGGTGAAACTGGACTAAAGATATCGTCTCGGATATGCCAGCATCAAACAAGTGCACAACAAGGTAAAGGGGAAAATTCGGCTGTAGCTGAACATTCAAAAATTTGCCAAGGAAAATTCAACTGGAATGGTCGCAATACGTTAAAAATCGAAACAAATAGTTTTAATAGGAAAGTTAGGGAAGCCTTGGAAATACAACTCAACGAAAGTACCCTTCGCGACAATGGTCTTAATCGAGATGATGGTGATTATGTGACGACGTCATTTTGGAAACCCATGTTTAAATTCTTACGTCACAAAAAACTCACTTAAATAACTCTCTTAAAAAGAAGCTCTTACAAAGAACATTGTTTTGTTAATTTAAACAGTTTTTATATAATATAGCGGTTTTGTTTTTTTAAAACGGTTTTTATATACTTGATAACGAGGGTATCCATATTCCCTCGAAATATCGTAAAAATAAATATAATTTTTGCAAATAGAAATCAATCCATAAAAAGAAGTTTTATTTTAAAATATATATATATATATATATATATATATATATATATATATATATATATATATATATATATATATATATATATATATATATATATGAACAAAATCTAATTTTCTTTTTGCTCTAAATTAGCTTTTAGCACTGCTTCTAGTCGCCATTATCTGGATGCAGGCATTTAGAGCGGTTCACTGTAGTTTTGCTCATCAGTTACATAGTGGACTCATTGTGTCAGTCGCCAAATTTGGTTGGCCGATGTCTAGCCACATGTTAAAAAGTTATTAGCTTGCCACTTAAAGCGTATGCCACTAGTGGTCCACTAAGTACTTGATGAGCAAAATCCATATGTTCCGCTCAAAATGCCTATACAGGTCCACTGCACATCGATTGAAAAAAAACGATCTCTTTGATTCACAATAATGAAAAAAAATTAGATAAAAAACTAATATGTTCGTACGTTTAATGAGGTTTCAAAACTTAAATCAATTTCCTGAAAAATCTCGAAAATCGAATATAACTTATGCCATAAACAGTCTAGAAATGTTTAATTGTGCTAACATTTTGAGACTTAAAGTACAAAGCACGGCGATCTATACTGAAGGCCTTGCCATCGCGCAAACAGCTTAGTTGACTGGGGGCCTATTTTATTTTAACGGCAAAAATAAAACAAAAAAGTGTTCAGTAATTTTATATTAACTCAATGAACTTTTTACTCTCAAACTGTTTCATTTTATAACAAACAAACTAAAATTCAAACAAAATATTTCTTAACTTATAAATTTTTTCAAATTCAAAAACAAAAATCATATATATATATATATATATATATATATATATATATATATATATATATATATATATATATATATATATATATATATATATATATATATATATATATATGTATATATATATATATATATATATATATATATATATATATATATATATATATATATATATATATATATTCCTAAAGATCCAGTAGTAGTGTAGTAGCGAAACTCAGAGTTGAAGAAAAAAGATAGATAAATATTTTTAATAATTAATTATTGCTCTGTTCTCTATATATATCTATATTCTATATATATATAAATATATATATATATATATATATATATATATATATATATATATATATATATATATATATATATATATATATATATATATATATATATATACTTACACACTTAAATAATCATATACATAAAATTACAATTAAAAATTTGTGATAAGAATACAATAATATTTTAAGAATTCATGACAATTTTAATATTTTTTGAGCTGGTTCTTTATTTGAACGAGGAGTTGAAAGTTTACATAAATTGCTTAAAAAAATGTTTGAAAGAATATTTCCGTGATGTCGATGCATCTCAAAGTTGTAAAACTCTGATATCATCATTAGAATATTGCTCAATGAAACTCTGCATACTTTATCTTTAATCGTATTAAAAATTATAAAAGAAAAAATTACCCATTGACAGGTATTATCTGTGGGAATATTAAGTCCACCACGGTCAATTGAGTCTATGTATTGTCCAAACTTTTGGTGGTAGAAAGTTGTTTTTTCTAGCAGCTCATTTTCTGATAGTTCATTATCTTTACGAGTTAAATATCCTGATATGTATATAAGTGCCATATTTGTATCAGAAGAAATAAAAGATTCAAGATTTGGCAGGTTGTCAAATATCTCAGCAGAGGACTCATCCAATAAAAAACCACAATTTGGACAAGAATGGGTTGTATCAAGACATATGTCAACAGCTGGGTTATTAAGAGATAGTAAAAGCTTGGCTCTTGAAATATTCAGTTTTTCAATTACCTGCTGTACTGTTATAAAATATGTACCTCCGGAACCTTGTCGCAATTTGCTAAACTCTTTTTCCAATGGATCAGTAGAAAACTCACTAAGAATAACATATTGGTGTGAGCTATTCAATAATGAACGACATAATTCAACAACACCATTGCACGTATGGTAAATTGATTGTGCAGTGTCACAAGTAAGTTGTTTCTTCCTTTTACCTTGCTTTCCAGCCATCTTTAAAGCCATATTTCCGAAATCTAAAATATTTTCTAATCTATTATCATTAGGATCTCTAATAACTGCTTGAAGTTCATCATTAAACATAACATCTGCACCTGTTCCTTTAACATTAAGAACTTTCCACCATGATACGACAATGTTAATAAAATCTGCTGTGTCTTGTCTTTCTTTTATATGCTGCAGTCCTGGATGATTAATCAAAGCATGGTAAGTTTTGTCACAAAATATCCTTAAACAGGTAGACACTGACTGCCTCTCGATTGGCTTTGGAAATATTGAAACTTCATTTAAATTAGACAATTTAACTAAGTTTTTAGATTCAAGTTCATAAAGTTTTTTCAGGTGATCCCATTGTGCTACTTTTTGTACCCCTTTATCATAAAATATAAGTTGACCAGTTTTTTCAGTAAGCCAATTATTTCTAATGTTTTTAAGCAAATGTACATAATCAAAGATTAAGAAAACACCATCATTAGTCAACCAAGGTTTACTTGGAACTGTGAATTCGAAGATTTTAAAAAAAGCCTGATTAATTCTATTTCCATCACATATTATGGCTTTGACTTGACCCGATGATTCCTTTATTGATTGGATAGTAATGCTAATTTGTTCGAAAAGAAATTGAGAGTTTAATTTACTTATAGGTATCATTTTGGAAATGAACGATGGCCCACCGAATAAACAATTAACTATTAAACCCAATACAGTTTTTGCAAGAGAAGTTGAATCATCCATTGCTTTTCCGAACAATGTACCACCATGATATAACAACATTTTTTTAACATAAATCTCGTCATGCAATAACAAACAAATTTTCTGTTTTTCTTCAATAGATTGAAAAATATTAGTGAAAAAAAGTTTTTCGTTTAATTTAGAAACTTTTGAAGTTATTCTTGTCAAAGTTCTTACAGAAGGCAATTGGTAATCTGTTCGCAATTGATTATACAAACTTCTGGATGTAGCAAAATACTGAAAAGATCTAATAATAATTTCTTTAGAATAAATCTTATTTCCAACACACTGTGTACCCATAGAAGCTAAATGTTCTTGAATTACAATTTCTTTTCTTCCAGGAATCAAACTCTTTAAATAACGTAGGACTTCTTCTAATATTGACCATGCATTAATTTTTGAAACTTTGTTTTTAGAAATAGTAGGAATTTTAATTTTGACTCCATAGTGATAAGTTTCAAAATGTAAATCGTCTCTAATCTTGATTAAAAAATATGGAACCCCATTTGAATAAGCTTGTGATTGCAAATGAATAATGCTATTAATCATAAAACATACTGATGGAACACCCAAATCTCTTTCATTACATAAAAGAATTTCTTTCATTTCAGCAAAAGTTACTCTATCTTTTTCTAAAAAGGCTGATAATTCATCTTGAGCAAAATTTCGAATACGTGAAGAGGCACTATTTGTTGAACGTAATGGAGGAGGTTGAGTGGGAATTTGACAAGACGGTATGCCTGGCCAAACAGATGGTGGAAATTTAGGACGAAATTTTCCTCTAACTTGTTGTTTTTCAAAATTTATCGGCCAATGCAACTCACAAACTACAGTGCCATTAGTTACCTTTAGATTTGCATTTGGAATTACTTTAATCCACATTTGTTTTTCATCTTCATTTTTAGGAAATCGATATACTGAGATCTTTAAATTATCAGATTTCTTTTTAGCCGATAAATAATTTGTGGTACAGCCATAAATACAACACTTTTTACCCATATTTCAATATCACTAAAATGGCGATTATAGTTAAGTACAGTTTAAAATAGGCCCCCAGTGAAATACGTTTTTTGCGCGTTGGCAAGGCCTGCAGTATAGAACGCCGTGGTACAAAGGGTTTAAATTTAGTATAAAAGTTCAACTTTTGGGTTATAATGCATAACTATTATTTAATAGTAGAAAATTATGATAACCTATAAAAAAAAATGTTTTCTTTTTTCATAGATTTTGTATAAACTTTAACTTTAAAAATTCTAAACAGAATAATAACACAAACAATTCGAGTATACGTAAACTTTAATTTATAAAATAATTTTATAAAATTATATAAAATAAAAAAAAAAAAAAAAATTATAAAGGTAATACGTACACATAAATTGTTGCGTACATTTACGCGACATCTTGCAAATTATCTTGCAATAAAAAATGTTTTAAAAATCACTAGCATATGTCCTAAAACTTTCTTGTATAAAATTGAAATAAAATTATCTTTAATAGAAGAGAAAGCGTTGTAGCCGTATCAAATTATGAAAACACGTGACGTTCACAATTTCACAACATCTCAAGAGGTATGAAAAACAAAATCACTATAAATAAAAACATAAACAAAGTTAAAAATGAATCATAAATTATAAAAAAAAAATTACAAAAATATTGCTTTAGCATTAAACTTTTTAGGGTACTTAACCCTCTTTAATAAAGACAAAGAAAAAGTACCTAAACAACTTTTTAAATTGCTTTGCAGAAGAAACTTCGCAGTGATCAAGCTGCTCGTCAAACTCTATCATCCGAACATTCGTTGACCCGTTGGCTTTTGCTACAGCATAGAGCTAATAAAATAACAGTAAAAAGAAGGTGAAGCAAATTTTTAAAGAAAAAAGTGATCAATTAAACATCGTTAACTAATTAACTATCATCAACCTATTTCTATGGGGAAAAAAAAAACCATAACCCTCTTTCAAAGAAAATTATATAAATTAGACAAAGCTTTACATGACTAACTTTTCGCCCTTAAGTATTTTTGTGCGCGTCACGTTGATTAAGTTAGGAAAACTTTTATATAGTTTTTAGTTTGATAGCATTTTTTAATGTAGGTTTTTTGTTAATCTTTATAATAAAGTATTTTAAGAAATTTTTGAATCAAAAAGATAGCGTAAAAGTAGTTGAAAAACTTTTAAACTTTATTAAAAGTTTACTTATTCCGACCGACTTTTTGTTTTAATTCAGACCGACTTTTTGTTCTAATTCCGACCGACTTTTTGTTTTAATTCCGACCGACGTTTTGTTCTAATTCCGACCGACTTTTTGTTTTAATTCCGACCGACTTTTTGTTTTAATTCCAACCGACTTTTTATTTTAATTCCGACTGATTTCAGCTAACTTGTAATATAATGAATTAACCAGAATTTTGATTTGATTTAAACTCATGATTGTTTTTTCTTTTATACAACAATTCAAGTTAAGTAACGTAATTTTTTCAAAATGGTAGCAAGTAATTTCTTCATCAAGATTCAACTTGTTTCATCTTAATGGTATAATTTGATACAATACTTCTGTGCTTACATGTTTCTCAAAGATGATTCTAAAATAATGATTATTCTTATTACCCACAAGTCTTGAAAACATATGAGAACTTTTACAAGGGCTGATCTAGCAGTGTTTCATGACTTTTTTTTGAAATACAGCTCCACCTCTAACCAACGAAGCGTTAAAATATCTTTGGTTTCAGAAAATTTAGTAGTAATCGAAGGCCATTTTTAACGGCGTTGCCATCAACGAAGCATCACTCAAGATGCAAGCAATAATCTATTAGCTTGTTTTATATTGCAACTAATTTTTTTTATTTTTTTCAATTTTTTGTTTTTGGTTCCGCAAGAAGACTTAACGGTCTTGTCACAGAGTACCACGGAAGAGCATTTAGCAAAAAGTCACACCTCCTTCCTTAACGATGGCGCGAAATATGCCGAGAACTCGCATTGAATACAGGATCTCATGCCTATAAAACAAGCACTCTAACCACTGCGCCACGGCCGCTGAATAATTTTGAGACTGCATAGAGCGCATTACGGTTTACAAAACTTAGAGCGCAATATATTAATCCGCGCATGTATTTTTTTCATTTTTAGCAAAAATAAACCGCTCATTACGCAAAATTTAAGAATAATTCAAACAATTTATAATAGTTTGTTATGATTATTTAGCATGTTTGCCTAGCACTCGCTGTCTAATCCTTTGGTTAATGGTTTAAATTTCCCGCAGTTATGTTAATATTTTTTATATATTTTGGATATAACTCCTTTACAAGCTTAAATTCCTTTACGTCTGCATTACGTCTGCATTACTTTAATAACTTAAGAACCAAAACTACTAACGGAGAACTTATCAAGTTTTACAGAGATGTTTATTTGCAGAAAGAATATATTCGAACTTGACATGAAACGGGCATATTTGTTGTGAACAGAGTTATGCACTAATATTCCAGACATAGCTGCACCACCAAGACAAACTGCTATAATGGAACGAAAATACACAAATACTCTGACCAAAATGACTAAATCACCAAAAGCAACTAAAGCTCAAAAAAAAAAAATTTTTAAAGGGTTTGAAACGAAGCTTGATATGATGATATCCTTGTCTAAACCTTGTCTTGTTCTTAAAAAACCCACAAACTGACCTGCTTATGATACGAAACCTCCTTTATCATTTCGTAAACTAACTAAACAACAGTTTTCTAAATTAAAAAGAGGAGTAGATGCTTATGAAAATCTTCAAGAAAAAATAAACAACGCAAACAACTATATAAAACAACTTAAAAGTGAAAAATAAGTAAACAAGGTAAAGACCGATATATTACATAAACAATATTTAAGTTTATCAGTTAGAAATCAAATTTTAAACAAAAAACTGGACAAATATGAAAAAGGAATGTTTATATATTCCAAACTTAAAGACAAACCAAAGTAATTTAAATATTTATGTGGTCTATCTACCCAGCAATTTCAAAATTATTGAATATTCAGATTGTAAAGGTACAGGAATCAGATTTCTTGATAAGATAATCGCGTTATTTTCAGTTTTAACATTGTGCAAGCATGCACTTCATCTCTGTGTTATTGGATTTATGGTGGGTGTGTTGTAAGCACCATGTATCGTGTTTTCACTGGGTGGGTTGTATTTATAGATGCAATATTTTTAGAGATAAATTTAAAGGTTGAAAGCACTTATATTTCCCTGATGGTGCCTTCTGTTTTTAAAAAAACTGGCCATGGTGAAACCGATATTGTTGTGGATGTCGCTGAATTTAAATTTCAACAACCAATCAATTATAACCTAAACACTTTAATGTTTTCAAGTTATAAAAAGTGTACAACAGGAAAATCTTTAATTGGAATCTCTCCATATGGGTCAGGTTTACATTTTGGAGACATACATCCTGGTTCCATCATAGATAAAATTTTTAGAACAATCTCATAATTTAGAACTAGCTGAGAAAGAACACAAAATTACGGCAGACGGGTTTTCAACTCAAGATTTATGCGCTTCAAAAGGAATCTGAACGTTCTATCTCAAAAATCAAGCGATTAGTTCCCACAAGCTGACATAGCTGGTAATTTTGATATAGCTTCTTCTACCTGTATTCATGTAGAGAGATTCATAGGATGCGTACGGGATTGGTCACTTTTTAATTTTGTGTGACCCTTACAAAGAAGGGAATTACTTTTCTTTTCTTTCGTTGTAAACCCTATAATGCGCCTTATTGGGCCAAAGGAAGAATCTAGTAATAAATAATATTTTGTGAATATATATACAAGCATATAAAAACATATTTTATTACTTTTTATCATTAAATATTTTTAAATATTTAAACCAATTTTAATGGAGGAACTGATGTTTCAACAAGTTCTCTAAAATACAATCTAGGTGGTGATAGCATTTTGCATTCAAATCCAATAAAAAAATGACGGTGCCATTTTTTTATTGGATTTGAATGCAAAATGCTATCTGATTACCTTGATAACTGACATCAGTAGATAAATAATTTGAATAGTAAAGTAATTTGAGTTGGATGATAAGATAGTAAAATGCAGTATTTAGATTTTGTACATGGTAGTTCTAACTGAGCCTGCGCATAATATTGAGGTTGGTTTTTTAAATGAATCAATGAACTGTCACTTTTTTTTGCTCGAGTTTTAACTTTCAAAATAATTTTTATGTGAGACAAGGCTATCTGGACTTGCTCCATAACTTAAATCATCTGGGTGATAGAAAAATCCACACATTTGGGGAGAACATTTTGACATCTTTCCAAACTGTTGAAATGCCATAAACTCATAATGTCCACGCTCAAAATTTTCCATGTTTTGTGTGTTATAAAAGTCTTTTTTATACAATCCTTCCTTAACTATCTTCCAATAATTAGTAAATCTTTCCTGTCCATATATCCTTAGTAATGCTGGTAATTGACTCCCCCTTTTTTTTGTGTGTGTTTCCATCCACTCTTGGGTATTTTGTTTGACATATGATTTAATATGATTTGTGTATTGTTTTTGTGTTGGTATCAGCTTTGTCAAGTTAATATGAATAACAGGATACTCATTTAAAAGCTTATTAATTTTTTCCAAAAACAATATCTTGTTCAGGTGAAATTGAAACTACCTCGATGTTTACTATATTTTAATTTAGTTTTTGCAATATTGTTGGTATTTCACTATAATTTTCTTGATATTCTTGTGGGTTTACTGCTTGTTTATTTAAAGTACGACTTTTTATATTTATAGAACTTAATCTATCAACTTGGAAGTTAAAACTTTCACAGTCATATCTGAATCTTAAATACCCCTTTAATGATGATTCATACCCTAGATCTACTGAACAAAGAGTATCATATACATGTTTCTCAAAATTGGGTTCCATATTTAACCTTTCCTTGATTTTTTTGTTTCATTTTTAAAACATCTCATTTAAAAGATGAACTTTCTTGATCTGCTTCAGTAATTTTTAAGTTTTCAATTTTGTTCTTGTTTCTTGCTGATTTAACTTTAATATGACATAGTGGGACCATTGGAATAGAGTCTTTTTTGATCTTTCATGCCATTTCTGTATATCTGTGTGCACATTAATTCTAAAATTATTGTGTTTGTATCCACATAACGCTTTAGGTAAAAAAGGATAGCTAAAACATGACAGCAAAATCCACTAAGACCAACAGGACATTTGCATTTATCCTTAAAACGTGTCCCTTCTACAAAGTAAAATAGCAGGGCATGCATCATGGCTATAAGATTTTTTCATAAAAGCTCTTACATATACCTTATTGCTATCTAAATGTGTTTTAACAGATTTAATTTTTTGCTTGTTAACATCTAGTATGGTTTTTGCTGTTGTCTAAATGTAACCTCTTTTTTATTGAGAATGTATTCTTAAAAAAGTTTAGAGTTCACACAAGGGTAGAGGTTTAGTTAGAGGATAGAGATTTTCATTGTCAGTTTTATTTTGAGATATGTGCGGTATCTCGCCTGCATGCAAACTTGTTGAGAACAAGAAATTCTTTTTCGATTTTAAAAATAATTTTAAAAGCAAATTCAAACCCCCATTCTTTGTGTAAATCGCAAGTAAAGCAAACTGTTGGACTGTATTTTGATAAAACAAAGCTTGATACATCTTTGACATTAGCACCTTGTTTAGTTATTAAATTTGAAAGATTATCTAAGACTGAAAAACATCAATATGTGAAATGCTACTGTGTACTAAAGTGAAAGTGAAGGCACAGTAAGACCACCTCATGAAAGTATTTGTAAATATGGACAAATATTTATATTGCTTGCATCTGTAGCAAGCATAGACTTGCAATCACTACATTTGCTTCTTTTTATTAATTTCTTTGCTATATAACCAGCAATTGTTGTTGCAACTTCTTCTGTTTCAGGTGATAGAGTTAATTCTGATATCTCATTTGAGTTTAAATCTAATGTTATTAGTAATTCATCATTAACTGGGTTATCATAAAACGTTTTGTCTAATTCTGAATTTATTTTTGTAATTTTTTGATTAGATAAAAGATATTTTTGTAATGTATTTTTTAATTGTATTAAAGATATTTTTTTAATGTAGTTTTTGATTGGATGAAAGATATTTTTGTAATGTATTTTTTAATTGGATGAACAATATTTTTGTAATGTATTTTTTAATTGGATGAAAGATTTTTTGTAATGTAGTTTTTGATTGGATGAAAGATATTTTTGTAATGTATTTTTCCATTAAATGAAAGATATTTTTTGTTATGTATTTTTCAATTTGTTGAAAAATATTTTTGCAACAATTCACCAAGGTTTATGTAAAAATTATTTTTATATGTAAAACCTTACTAGAAATATACTTGTACTAAGTTACACATGACTTACAAGATAGAAAATATATGTTTAGACAAAAAATACTGTGCAGAGATGTTACCAGCTAATTTATGCTTAATTTATGCATTATGTTAATATTACACCTCTAAATAGATGTTTGTGCAATTGTCATTTAAGAAGTGTTTGCTTTTTGTGAGCCACCTCAGCTCAACTGCAGTTGAAAAATGTTTTAACAAATGATTTTCAAAATCCTATGCATAATTAATAAATTAATTTATAAAAAACATTAATAAATACTACTAAATATACTCAATAATACAATTACAAAAAAATGGTAAAGATTTTACTGAACAAAAAACAACCGAGCTTTGAATTTTCTAAATGAAGAATTTATTTACACCTAATCTAAAAAATTATTTAAAAATCCTAAAGAATAAAATAAATTCTAGATATTTTAAATACTTACTTTTCGTGCAAGGTTGATGTTAATAATGCTGTCACTGACATCATGTAGAATCAGTGTTGGTGATGTCACTTTCTGAATCCTTTAAAGAAAATGATTGTTGAATAATAAAAGGAAAGAAATTATCATAATATTTTAAAATCTTTATCTTTGAACAAAATTTACAGTTAATTAACACAAGAGACTAATATTAAATATAAATGTTTTTGTAAACTAAAAAAACACTTTTTGTGTTTTTGAAACATTAAACTGTGTTTTTGTGACATTGAAAGGTATTATGTATCTATTGTAACAGCTTGGTGCAGAAAATTTTCAACTTTAACCTACACAAAAGCCAGTTTGCTGCTAATCATTATTGTAATAATGTCACTATATTGATGCATGGAGTTTAAAGATAATCTAAAATATAAATTAAAGATAATCTAAAAATAAGTAACATAGAGGACTCAGTATGAGTCCTCTACCTTTAAAGATTTTTAGATTATCTTACACTTCCTCCGACTATCTTTTTTACTGACCTCTCATAAAAAGCATATGTCCAATACTTTGTAAAGTTAAGACCTGCAAAGCTTGTCTCTCTTTATTGTGCTTGTTTTTACACCTGATTCCATCCTCTACCTCTTTAAACCTTTTATCTAACCTTGCATGAAATACTGTTTCATTTTTTAGACTAGATTCAAAAACATACTATATATACGTGTTTTATACTTTTATATGTGTTTTATATATAAGTTTTATACTTATATATAAAATTTATATAACATTTACGGAAATGTTTGTGGAAAAAAACTAGAAAAACTATATAAGTTTTTTTAAGCATAAACGAGCAGTTTACAGTAAATGTATGCAACTTTACTGAATGATAAGTCACACAAAATTGTGTTTTGGCAGATAGTACAAGAAACAATGTCAACTGTTTTCTTACACTAAACTTTCTTCTATACTTACCAGTATATTTTAATTTAATAATATAATAATATAATAATTTACTGCTATCTATTGTTAGTATAAATTTTTAGCAAATAGAGTTAAATAACTTAAATAGCTTTGAAATCTTTATTAGTGTTTGCCTTCAGCCTCATTAGAAGGAAATTTGTTAAAAAAACAAACAATTGATGAAAATAGAAAACCATTTACACAACAAACATAAAAATAAGTTACAATTCCAATATAAAAAACCTAAAAAATGAAATAAGCATTTTAGTTAAAATAAAAATTTTGGTTGATCGTGAGCCTTTTTTTTTTTAATTTTTTACAACCATTACTAATAAAATAAAAAAAACTTCTTACCAAAATGTACTTAAAAATACATTTTTAACATCATCCAAATAACTCTCAAAGTTAGGAAGAAACTGATAAAGAGGCTAAAAACAATATGTTAAAAAACACAAATAAAATAAAAACATAAAATCAGTGTCACTGTGTAATTTGAAAATTAAAACAAACTAATTGTGATGGCAAAACATATTTTTAAAGTTTAAAAAATTAATAAAAATATGATAATGAATAAAGAATAACAAAAAAAAAAAGTAATAAAAAAAGAATAATAAAAAAGATGATTATGAATAAAGAATAATGAAAAATTAAAAAAAAAATCTAAATCATTTGGACTATAAAAAAATTTACCAAAGCCAAAGGTGTTTGGATAATAGCATCTGTTATATTATTAAAAGGTGCTTCTAAAACAACACCATTTAATTGGGCTCCTAAAAAAAATTCAAAAGTATAAAAAAATTCAAAAGTATAAAAAAATTGATTCCTTGTTAACAATAATTGACTGCTGAGTTTTAAATATGTTTTGGTTACTTCATGTTGGTTCAATGTTTTGTGATTAATGTAAAATATGTTTTTACCTGTTTTTTATTTAGATATTTTGTTTTAGAATTTTTGTTTAATTGGATTTACAATTTTTGATTTATGGTTAACAACAAATTAGAAAGTGCTTTTATCAATATATTAAGGATTTTAAAAGTGGAAAACCTCAAGCTAAAATTAAAAAAAAAAAAAAATACAGTTTTTGCAAAACTGTAAAATCATTTAGATGTTGCGACTGCTATGAAACAAACAATTGGGGTGTACACCAAAGAAAAACATCTCAAAAACTAGATTGAAGAATAGTGAATGACAAAAAAGATCCAC